CAAAGTAAATCCCTCCAAGGTTTGTGAATGTGGGAACTGAGAAACACGCCGAGGGGTCCTGAACTGAGGAACTGCCCCCCCCAGTGGACCCGCTGTGACCAGCAGTAATGGACCGCTGTTAGTGCTGTCTGCTGCCAGGTGTGTGTGTCTGTGTGTGTGTGTGTGTGTGTGTGTGTGTGTGTGAAGAAAGTTACTGCCGCAAAAGACTCAGAAGAATTTAGCTGAGTAAACACAAGCTCTTTGACTGGGAAATGATACGGTTTCAACTTTAAACCAAACGATTAAAGGCTTTTTAATTAACTAAGTGAGATTAATGACATTTTTAAATAGTAACAAAAAAAAGTTCACTACAGTCACAGATTACTACAAAGTTACAGTACAAATTACAGCTATTATATTCATCAGTTAAAGACTTGTGTGTGGACTAGCTACACCATCTGTCTGTAGCAGGACTGATGTAGCTAACGCTAGCTCAACAATCGTAACAAACCTCATGTGCAATACCGCCCCCTACCAGTGTGTACACCGTGGTTATCAGTATGCCAGATTTTTTTTTTTTTATGTATCAGGCTCCTTATCTCAGAACCTGTTCAAATGTTTCATTTTCTAAACGTACAGTCGGTTTGTAGTCATTTACCCCTATGATTTCTCTTATTGCCCCTTCAGACTCCAACAATAGCCCCGTCACACACTGGCAGTTCACTGTTGGAAAGAAAAGAACCGCTCCCTCTTTGAACCACAGCATGTTGAGACATTTCCACGTTATCTGTGGCTTTCGTTCCATTCCCTGGAGAAACGCGTGTTTTCATCCACTTCACTGGCAAAAGAACTGATTCCAATCTACTGCCCCGGCATCAGGGCAACCGTCTGTGCAGCTCAGCCCCAGTGCTCTGGGTGCTGTTCTCATTTCCTCCCTTTGTATTGGTCCTTTGTGTGTGTGTGTGTATATGACATATATATTTATATATATTTTTATATATATTTATATATATATATATACACACACATAGGACAAATATATATGTATATATAATATGTATGTATGTGTGTATATATGAATGCAAACATACATATAGAAAAATACAAAGGAAGGAAATTCAATATATATGTCTATATATATATATATATATATATATAAATATTCAATATATATGTCTGTATATATATATATATATATAAATATATGTATATATATATATATATATATTTATATACATACAAATTTATAGTTTTTTTTCCTTATTTATCGTCTCTCAAACATTAGTATTTTTTTCAGTGGTTAATAATGATCTTTTTTTTTTTACACTCCTGCTGAGACATTTTTTTTTATTTTCACCTGAGCAGTACTTTACTCGTCTGACATCTCTGGCCCCCTGCAGGGAAGGCGTGGAAGTGCTGATGGCCGACCTCCAGGTTCCTGGAGAAGAGTTCTCCTATGGACGCTCCAAGATCTTCATCAGAAACCCACGAACGGTAGAACACACACACACACACACACACACACACTCTTTGATCCTGGTGTCAGTAGACGTCGGTCCGTTTGAATTCCTTCAGAGTGGCGTGGACTCAGACGCCCTGTTTTCTCACAGGGAATTGTTTGTAAAGCAGGGTGGGCTGCACTTGAACCCCCGCCCCCCATTTTTGGTAATTAGCATGCAGCTACCACATGGTTCTACTTAGCCATTCCTTCCAACGTGGGAAATGAGCGTCTTTACTCGGTGCTTCATCCGTCGGACCATCTCCCCACACTGAACAGGACCAACCACGGCTTGAAATAACATTCTTTCACAACACTGAAACATTTTTTTTTTTTACTAATCCCAGCCTTAAGTCTAATCTACAACAGGAGTCATTTGAATATAAACATTTTTCATCAACGTCTTCATCGATCCTTCTGTCTTGTAGCTGTTCTTCCTTGAAGAGCGACGAAGGCAGTGTCTGCAGGACCTGGCCACGCTCATACAGAAGATCTACCGCGGCTGGAAATGTCGCAGCCATTTCCTGCTGCTCAAACAGAGTCAGATCGTGGTGGCGGCGTGGTACCGTCGATACGCGGTGAGGTTCCTGCAACAGAAATACAACAAAATAATTCAGGAAAATGAAGGCGTTCATTCAGACGATGTTTCACTTCACAGCAACAAAAGAAGTACCAGAGGATCAAGAGCGCCACCACGGTGGTGCAGTCCTACACCCGGGGATGGCAGGTGTGTCCCCTGTGACTGTTGCCCTCTCTGGGGGCGGTCCCTAACCTTTGTCCTGGTGACATTTAGAATATTTGATTAAGAACTCTTTTGATTTTCACCGCTGACATCTGCTCCTCCCGGTTCTCCTCACGTCAGGCTCGTAAACTCCTGAGGGAGCTGAAGTACCAGAAGAGATGTGAGGAGGCAGTGACCACCATCTCAGCGTACTGGCACGGCACCCAGGTACTGTACCTGTACTAATGACAACCACCGTTTTTAATGTGTGTATAAATACTACAAAGGTACACGGTGGCCCGCCTCAGTACCTGGTCTCGTTGGTCCTCCGTGTTCCTGCCTCAGTTCTTACTTTCTGCTGCTGTTTCCCTCGACTCAAACTCGTTTTTTTTCTTGCATTCATTTATTTTAGTGACGTCCGATAATATCGACCGACCGATATTAGCATGATTGTCTAATATCTGTACGAATCGTTATAGTTTTTTTCCTCCGATAATGAAAAACTCGATGCCAAATGATGTGCCCTAAAAATAGTTTTGGGGAAAAACCACTGTACATGAAAGTGAAAACCACTAGATGGCAGCATTGCAGCGTATTTATTTATTTTTTCACTTAGTGAGGTATCGGAAATTAAGTGTTCGGACAATATCGGCACATCGTATATGGTCAAGAACTTGATATCGGACGTCCCTAATTTCTTCATTTCTTCCTCCAATCATCTTTCACGCTCCTTTCCTTTATTCCTTCACTGGTGACTTACTCAACTTTTCTCACCCAATCACCGCCGCATCCCATCAGGCTCGGCTGGAGCTGCGACGTCTAAAACAAGAAGTGCGGAATAGACACGCTGTGACAGTAATTTGGGCGTACTGGCAGGGAACCAAGGTATTTTCTCCCAGAAGTGGTGTGTTGTTACCAAATGTCTCGTCACGTCTGGTCCCTTCGTCTCGTCCCTTCATCTCGTCCCGCCCCGTCCTCCAGTTAATGAGACGCCCAGTTAATGAGACGCTGCTCTGAATGAGCTGATCCACAGGTTGATTAGTTAATTCAGTGGAAGAGTAACAGCAAAAAAAAAAAAGAACTTTCACAACAAATCAAAATCAAACTTCTCTTTATAATTGGTCACATTTCAAACCCAATTTTCTCCGTGTGGAAACGTAGACGTAATAACGTAGATGTGTTTTCCTCTCCGTTTGTTCCAGAACCTGCTGAGAAGCTTTTTTCTGAAAAGCTAATATGCTGACAGTGAACAGCAGGGGGGGCCGCTACACACACAGAGACACACTTTAGTGGCTTCACTGCAAAAAAAATTTAAAACAGTAAAATAAGCTTCATCTCAGGGACAGGAGTTGGATTTCTTTGGAGCAAGAAGAAAATTAAATATTAAAAAAATTAAATAATTAAATATCTTAGAGAAAATATTCTATAGTCAGAAAATACAAATAAAATATTTTAGATAATTAAAATTAAGCTTAAAAAGAAGAAATAAATTAAAACAAAAATTTAAAAATTTAGATTTTTAGATTTAAGAATTTCCTTACAGTTTCTTATACAGTTTTAACCCAAAGGCAGGAACTGATTGGTCGTGCGGTGTTGACCTCAGTCTCAGCGTGTGGTCAGTTTCAGTAACTGACAGTGTCATCGCTCCAGATGGATCAGTACTAACCAACTAACCCACCTGACCGGTGGTTGATGGTTAGTGGAGCCCTCAGCTGCAGTACTGCAGTACTACCACAGTCCTGTTTGACTCTTGACCCAAC